CTGAGTTCATTTTTATTGTCAGGAAGTAGAATTCAAGCAACAATATGAATTTGTTATTTTTAATTTTTTGTGTTGCTTTTCTACATGGGTTTATGAATTTGTAACATATTCTCACAGTTCTCTTACAGAGAATTCATCAAGTAACTGAAACTATTTGTTTGTTTGTGGCAGGATTTATACATAAATGCAGGTGGTGTGACAGTTTCCTTTTTTGAATGGCTGAAGAATCTCAACCATGTCAGCTATGGGCGTCTTACTTTCAAGTATGAGCGTGATTCTAACTACCATCTGCTGATGTCAGTGCAACAAAGTCTGGAGAGAAAATTTGGGAAAAGCAGGGGAAGTATACCTATTATACCCACATCAGAATTCCAAGCTAGAATAGCAGTAAGTTATGTATTTAACTCCCCTTTGCTCCCCTTCCCTTCCCTTTTGGACCATTCTCTTAGAGAAAGATGCCCAGGGCACTGTATTTCTCATGAAGACACAACTTTCATCCAAAAGAAAATGTTAGAGACTGTATGGTGGCTGTCTAAAACCTATAGATCCAAGAATGGAAGGAACCAACATCTCTTTCCAGTGATGAGGGCACTGAATCTTCACACAACGAACCATTCACCATCTCCTGGATCCAGGGTATAAACTCACTCCCTACCCCACCCTACCCCATCACAGTTAACCAAAGAAGCTAAGAGAGGCAAGAATCCAACTTGCAGGTGGATGACATCCTAGAAAGCCCCTTACCCACTTTCTTGGAATTAACAGGCATAAAAGAAGTCCTAGTTACCACAGGTAATTAAACTGAGTGGCCCTTGCCCAAATAGCATTATCTAGAACAGAGGTCCCCAGGTCCATGGACTGGCATCAGTCCACGGCATGCCAGCAACAGGGTTGCACAAACAAGCGAAGCCCCATCCATAGGATGCAAGCAGCACGCAAAACCACATACCCTCCAGTCCGCGGAAAAACCTTTCTCCACAAAGCTTGTCCCTGGTGCCCAAAAGATTGGAGACTGCTGATCTAGAAGAAGGCCTCTGAAACAGCCTGCCAATGCAATAAGAAAAGAGGCTTCTGTTATGTCTCAGGTTGTAAGCCAGCATGCATGGACTGATTTTGTTCTCACATCAATGACCTGAGATAAGTTAGGTTGGTAACAGTATACTCTATGTATTTTACGACTCATAATTCCAAATCCATTCAGTCCATTATATTGCAAAAATAAGTGAGAAATAATCACATCTAAGTATTGACAGGAAAATAGAATGATATACGGTATTTTTCTTAAGCTTGTTTTTTTTTTAAAGGGTGCCTCAGAGAAGGATATTGTTCACTCTGGACTAGCTTTCACCATGGAACGTTCAGCCAGGGTAGGTGTTTCTGGGTTGCATTTCTCTATATCTGTCTTTAAAAAGATCATTTTGTTTTTCATATAATGGACTTTTTACTTTATTCTTGTATGTCTGTAATATCCAATCCTGCGTTACTGAAATAGTTGTCGTTATTGCAGTGGTACCATTTTTATTCAATAATTATTTTTTAGGTTTTGGTTTCAGACCAGAATACTAAGACCACATTGCTTATGTTTATATGTTATTTTCTAGCAAATCATGAGTGTAGCGACAAAGTATAATCTAGGCTTGGACCAGAGAACAGCTGCCTATATTTGTGCCATTGAAAAGATCTTTAAGAGTTACATCGAGGCAAGTTTCACTTACTGAAGCTACCCACTGCTGGCCTTCAACCTGCTGGTTGAAAAGCACAAACAACAAAAAAGTATGTATTACTTTAGAAGATAAGGAACCTCTAAGCTGGACCTAGATATTGCTGTTATGTTATAGAAGATTTTTCTCTTTATCTTATTCTTTTCATTTTCACAGACTTTCTGTATATAATTATTATTATTATTTTCTGAGGTTTAGTTTTGATGTACAGGTGGATGCTTTGTTGTTATGCAACTCTGTGTTGCTGCTATTTCACTTGTCCCCAACTCTTATCTCTGTTTTGGTCTTTGTGATACCACTTTTCTATCTATTTTGTGACCTCTGTAGATGAGATTTATTACGAATTAATGCTTTGTTTTTTTTAAATCGTCAACTTGATATTCTGAATCTGACAAAGTTTATTCCTTGCAATAAACCTTATTTTAAATTTAAATATCATACATATAATCAGTATTTATATCCTTGATATTCTGTGTTGTATCTTCATTGTAGTTTGTTTCCCATATACAGTGTATTCCCAAGATCTTGCAACTTAAATTGCAGTTTGTACCTTCAAAGGACTGTATCATTGCATTGTTGAATAACACTGATGAAATATTGTACAGTAGTAAGGAAATATGATGGCAAAGGTCTATCCAAATCTCTGGATAATAGTCTTTCCAGTCACATTTCTGAATGGATGTGTGGCTGTGGCAGGACTATTGAAAAAAACTTTTTGCCTTGGAAAGCTGGGCAAACACCTTTATGTAATTGTACTCTGTTTAGCAACAGCAGGAAGATCTCTTTATAAATGGAAGTTAAGGAACCCGGTTCACAATGTTATAGTAGGCTATAATATATTCTGATAAACCTGTTAACTTACTTTTGTATGCATATTTGCCTATTCTTTTTCTAAGCAACTGCAGAAATTACTTCTTTTATTACTAGTGAATTTTAGGACTTGGCAAAAAAACAAGGTAGCCCTGTGCTCCATGATTGTGACTCAATGGGCAACATTGAGCAATGGGCAAAAACGAGGAACCTGTTTCAAACACAGATATTTTGCCCTTAGACAGGAAGTTGACTTTTAAAGATTAAATGGATAAATTTGATTGATAGATAGACAGATAGACAGACAACAATTGTAAGTGAATTTGGAAACAGAATGGAAATGTGAGTCATTGTTTCTTTTGGTTTAAGAATGCTACAGTTATAATTGCTAGAAGGCATCCGAAAGTGTTTTAATAAAGTTGAAAAGATTACTATCTAATGTAATATTGTCATAGACAAATTTAATGAGCAGAGTTGTAATATGTCAAAAGTATGCCAAGCATTTGAAGTAATTCCGTTCCTTAAGGGTTGTAGATTTAGTCACCCCGTGTTTTAGCACTTGGCTAATCACATCCCAGTTGTAAATATTATCAGCAGGAATCTCATATAGGTCATATACAATTAGGTCTAAGTAACTTATAGGCACTTACGTCTCTCCCACCTGGCTCATAATTTGTTTGTTCATTGACATCTGCCGTGGCAGTCTTTGGTCATAAAAAGTTCAGTATCATAAAAAGGGTTTTGCCACCAGAGGGCAGGGTTGACTTTAGCAAGGAGGGAAAAGGAAAGGCTGGGAATAGGAAAGGAAAAAGACTGTGATGATAGCCATAAAAGATAAGCCTAAGAAAGGGGCAGATACTGTGCTGGTAATCGTTTGTGACAAGAAGGCTGAAGGGGGGGGGAAAAGTCAATTTAACCTTGCATTATCACTATATACTGCATAATTGGTGTCTGTTGTGGTAGCAATTGTTTTTCATCTCATTCAGTAGTAAGGCTGCAGTAAGGCATGTTAAATATTCAAATCAAGCTCTAGCTTTCCTATGAGTGCACTGAGTTCCAGAGGGAATTACATTTGAAGGCAACTTTGATACCAAAAAGCATAAAAGGTTCACAAAACCATATTCTCTTGGAAAAAAATGTTTGGTTCTTTGACAGTAGAAATGATTATGTAAATGTTCCAGCAAATATATTGTAGACTTAATGAGTTAGGCAGGCTTTATTTATTCTAAAATTAATTTAATTTGGCTGCATCTGCAGTTGCACACTAAGTTTAAACAATTCAAAAAACATTGAGCTGTTGTTAAAACTCAAGCATGAGATGACTATAAAATATCAGATATGTAAAAAAATGATTGTATAAATATTTTGTAGTTGCCGTTCTTGTAAACATGATCATAGGTTTGGTTAGTGGAAACTTTGGTATCATATCTGTCACCAGAATTGGAAAGGTTGATTACAAAGTCTGACAAGCCTCAGCAGCTTTAGACTGTTAACTTGTTATATCAGGTTTCAATACATGCTGATCAAAACCTTAAAGCAAAAGGTTTTTCGAGAAAAAATAATAGTTTATTGAAAAATAAGCCATATGATGACATGTAGGCTTCTCCATCTTTCACTATTTTTAAAAAATTGTGGCATATTACCATAGGCTTTAAAGTTAGGCTTTAATCACATGGCAAAAGTCAGTCCATCATCATTGCAAGTGATTTTTATAGTATTTGATAATATGCTACTACCTTATATGCTGGGAATATTTTATTTTAAAAAAAATAATTTTATTGGTTTATCAAAATATAAAACACAAAAAGAAATTTAAAAAGTAATAGAAGATTAGAAAAGATGGAAGGGAAAAGAAAGAAGATAGTGTGAGAAAAGAAAAGAAAAAGGCACCAAGTTCCAACTCTTTAGCACAGTAGAAGATAACAACATTACAATCACAACTTTTTGCTTTTACACAACAGTATGTACAAACTATTTCTATAACAACAAACCTATCTGATTAACAAAAACAAAATCAAGTTTTCATTTTCTTTTTCATTGCAAGTACAAAATCTGGAAGTAGTTTCAAAATAGAAGCTAGCTTAAATATATTCTCATCTTTGGATAAAAGAGTCAGTGTAACCATCTATGCTTCTCATTGCTGTGGGGAATAATATATACCTCTATTGACTCATTAATCTTTATCCTAGTTCATATTAAAAGATTCCTCTACATAGAGTCAATCTTTTTTTTAACCCTAAAGGGAGAAAACACTTTCCCTAGTTTTGATATTTTACTAACTTTAAGCAATACTCAAATATTATATATAAAAATGAAAACAAAACAAAACAACAACAAAACCCTTCGTTTTAAACACAAAACTACATTAGGGCTTTCACAATATTACAAAAGGAACAAAAAAACACAAGAGGGGACATACATTTACAAACCTATTGTATACATATAAAGCTACCTTAATGCTTTCTTTCAATACATATGTCAAAGCTTATAAAAATCCACCCTAATTAAATCATTACATTTAAGTCACTCCCTCCAGCTTGTCTTCATAAATGAATTTTTTTTCCCTCTCAAGGGTGTCACTTTTTTTCAAGGAGTTCTCAGCCTGTAAAGTTTCCATCTCTAAGTTGTCAATCATATCTTTCTTTCTCAAAGAATTCTCAACCTTGTTGATGTCTATAAGGAAAAAATCCCAAAATTGACTCTTAAGATAAATTTACTTGACACTCTTGTTTCAGTTGCACTGGAAAGCTTTTATTCAAATCATCATCATAATAGAAACTGATGTCAGATTTATAAGATACAGTTAGGTTATTTGTGTTATCCAGCATTTGTATAAACACAGTGGGTTGATAGTTTCCTACAGTAGGTTGATAATCTTTTTTAATCTCCTCTGTATCATTAACATGTTTAAACCATAGAGAGTTTGTTGTATATTTGATTTTCTGTATATACTTTTGAAAAATGTCTTTAATGACTTTAATAACAGATTCCAGCTCAGAGTTAGACATCTTCATGTTTAACTTTAGCTCCCTCTAGTGGTCAAAATGTCCTTCCTTCCTTCCTTCCTTCCTTCCTTCCTTCCTTCCTTCCTTCCTTCACTCCTTCACTCCTTCACTCCTTCACTCCTTTCTTTTTTCTGGCCAATCAGAGCTCATGAAAATTGGAAAATTTCAACCAACACCACCCACTACAAGTCTACATATTATTTTAAAAGTAGTAAATTAAAAGCCACAACTTTTATCCTTATATTTCAAAAGAAAAAGTGCTCCACACGTCCTTCTTTTGTCTGCCTTCAGCAACCCTCTTTCTTGTCATTTAACAATGAAGGAGTCTCAAAAATGGCATATAGCTTCAAAAAGGAGTATTAGGCCATAATTAAAGAGAGCCTCTTTTAGCTCATAAAGATAATAATGTCATAAATTGGTTAAGAAATGAAGGGCACAGCTTATTGTCTTATTTGTCTTCCGGTGAAGACATGGCCGGCAACTGACATGCCCTGAGAGTCTCCTCTCTCTGGACTGTCATTTTTCCAACTCAGCAACAGAAGGAATTCTCTTGTTTATTTGACCCTCCTGGATTAGGGAGTGTCCCAGAATCATCCCTCAAGATCCTCTGATAGCAACATCAGGCTGTAAGCCATTTTAGAAGCCATGCTTCAAAACAGTGGATGAGCTGAAGCTGGGGAGCAGAGCAGAAATCACATCGGAGTTGGATAAAATAGCCGTTTTGGAATTTATTTTTCATATGCTGGGAACACTTTAAAGGGGCTGTTGAATTCCTCATTAATGGGGCATAGAATTCTGTTATTGCTGCCAGATCTGGGCTACAAAAACCTAGATGACAACCAGATGATAGTGATATTATTTTTATTGACTGAGGTTCCTCCCTCTAGTTTAAGAGGAATTGTCTCTAGAATCATTTCATTTGCTAAGCATTGATATTAACTGCTTGGAATAGAAAGATGATTTATTTAAACAACGAAACAGAAGAGGTGCCTCAAGACTAATGGAACATGGATCAACATGTCGTGTGTTTGTATATCTAATTTCTATTACTTGCAAGCTTTGAATTGGGTTTAGGTCAGCTCAAGAATAAGCAAAAGAGACTTCCAGTTTGCCATCGCAGCCGCCGCTGCCACTGGAAGGCGAGCTCTGTTTTCCGTGTTCGGTTTCGCTCTGCTGGGGGACCCTGGAAAGGTTCAAAAATTGCCCTGTAGGGGCAATGAGGAAGGAGGGGACCCCCGCTTGATCGCGGGAGGGCGGCAGCCCTTCTGCTCGGTCCGAGGCAGCCCTCCAAACCGGCGGAGGAAAGACTGTCCATAGTAATATGGCTCGTCACTAGGCTGCAAACAGCCGAAGTCAAACTCACCACCAAGCACTTCAAAAGCAACACAGATGAAACTGGGTGAGATCTGATCTTCTCTTTACCCTAAGTATTTTATTTTCCTGTAAAAGCTGCCTGAAGTATCTTTCCCCCTGTGAGGAGAGAGGGAAGGAAATTTCTATTCCACCCTCTAAGAATAGCGACGACTGACTAACTAGGGGAATTAAAGCACTAAAAGAACAACTTTAATCTAATTGGATTTATATGTTCCTGAAACTTGGGGACCAAAAATTTCCCTATTTTTATTGGAGACTTTTGCATTTATCTACAAAAAAGAAATAAAATTGGAACAAGTATTATAAAAATTTTGGACTTAAAAAACTTTAAACGGCATCGGTGACATCTTGTGGCAATGTTTGGTATTACAACTTGTTATTTCCTCAAAGAGACTTGGCTCGAAGCCCAGACTTTAGATAAGACTCTTTTGA